TGAGGTCTTCACAGCACAGCAGTTTCAGGAGGAGGTGATCCAGATGGCATTTTGTGCATTGAATGCTATTCTTCTTCTTCTTCTTCTTCTTCTTCTTCTTCTTCTTCTTCTTCTTCTTCTTCTTCTTCTTCTTCTTCTTCTNCTTCTTCTTCTTCTTCTTCTTCTTCTTCTTCTTCTTCTTCTTCTTCTTCTTCTTCTTCTTCTTCTTCTTCTTCTTCTTCTTCTTCTTCTTCTGCTATATCCATCCTCGGACATTGGCGATCATGTTGGCAATCCTATTTTGTCAACAGCTGCATGAAAAAGTGCTGCTGACTTTTGTCCAAACCAGTCTCTTAAATTTTGAAGCCATGATGTTCTTCTTCTGCCTGGACCTCCTTGGTTTCAATCTTTCCCTGGAGGATTAAGTGAAGGATGACGTATTTTTTGGGGTGTTGCATCACATGCCTAAAATATACTAACTTTGGCTTTTTAATGGCTTTGATGATTTCCCTTAGCTTTCCCAGGTGGCTTATCATCTCCTCATTTGTGATTTTGTCAACCCAGCTTGTACATAACAGCTGCCTGTAAATCCACATTTCAAATGTTTCTGGTTTCTTCAAGTGGTTTTCTGTCAGAGACCAGCTCTCTACTCTGTAGAGCAGGACAGAAAAGATGTAATATCTGACAAGCCTTGAATGCTATGTGCAAGACTAATGTTGGCACTATAAAAAAACTAGTTTGTGTAGAAGTTAAAGCATCAAACTAGAAATGGGGAGAGTGTGCATTCTAGTCTTGCCTTGGGCACAAAGCCACATGTGTGCCCTTGAACCAGTTACTCTCTCAACCCTATGGAAAACCATTTCTGAAAAACTTTGCCAAGGAAACTGCAAGGACTTATCCAGACTTTCTCCAATCATTAGACACGATTGAATGGAAGGGGAAAAAAATGTCTGCCATAGACAGCCACAAGGTAGAAGAAGGACATTACTATGAAAAAAAATCAGATTTGCTATGGGAAAGAGAACTTGAAATGTGTATATGCAGAATATACAACAAATATATAAAACATGCACATATGTATACAAATCTCTGTACCAGGGATGTCAAGCTCAGGATGGCACATTTTGTTGTAACTGTTCTTGCCTTTTGGCAACTCTGCGCATGGGCGCACTGGGAGTAGCTTCCCCTGTTCTTCTGCCTCACTGATGTCAGACTCCGGAGGCAGCACATAACTCCCAGATTATCATGGCCCCCTCTATGCCTCCAATGCAGAACCCTCATCCAAGCCTTCCCCAGACTTCAGGACTGGCCCATGTTCCTCCCCAACCTCCTCGCTGTCTGATTCTGATGCCAGCTCCGCAGGCCACGGTGGACCACAACACTGTTGTCGTCACATGATGTATCACACCTTTTCCCCTATTTGCTAAACTGGGGGTGGCCGTGGCCAGCATGTGACTCATCCAGCCCGTAGGCCACGAGTTTGACACCTCTGCTCTATACTGAGTTTTATAATTACCGTTTGGATGGGGTGCCAGGAATGGGTTCTCACCTGAAGTGTGTCTCAAAGTGATAGTGACAATCTTATGGGTGGTGGAGGTTGCTTTTGCTGCTATTAACTTACAAGTCAGATAAGGTGTGTGCATGTGTGGATGCTATTTTTCCTGGATTTCTCCTTCTTCAGAAGTCTGACACTGTGGAAAAAAATCATCACAAGATAGACAACATGAAAGGAAAGACATTATGAAACATCATGAAAGAACATCTAATTAAATGAAGATGTCATGAAAGGACAAGATGTAATAAAAGGACATCTAAAAAATAATCATCCTAGGAAAAAAATACCTTCACAGACTTTTGTGGAACAGGAAACAGGGTAATCCATATCATCATCATAATAAAAGTGAGAACTAAAGTGTAGCAGGACAATGTCCAAGATTTAAACTGGACCAGTCATCTCTGACAGACTGGACCTTCTTTTAACATTGGAGTGACCTCAAATGTTTGAAGTGAAAGGTGTTAAGTAACATTTGAGCAGAGAAAATGGCTGGTGGCAATGCTACTTTCCTTCGTGTAAGAGAGTGCTGGAGATTCAAGATATATTTGCAATACTTGCTTTGTCAGAAGAAAATAATAGCCAACTAATAATGAGTTAAGGTACGCAGTTGCTCAGTGGCTAAGACCCAGAGCTTGTCGATTGAAAGGTCAGCAGTTCTGCAGTTTAAATCCTTACCGCCGCATAACGGAGCAAGCTCCTGTTACTTGTCCCAGCTTCTGCCAACCTAGCAGCTCGAAAGCATGTAAAATGCAAGTAGAAAAATAGAAACCACCTTTGTTGGGAAGGTGACAGCGTTCCGTGCGTCTTTGGCGTTTAGTCATGCCCGCAGAGATGTCTTCAGACAGTGCTGGCTCTTTGGCTTTGAAATGGAGATGAGCACCGCCCCCTAGAGTTGGGAATGACTTGTACATATGTGCAAGGGGAACTGTTACCTTAATAATGGGCTTTCCCTCTCCTGGAGCTTCACCCTTATTTTATCTCATTTTTCTGATTGCACACATTTTATACTTTGATTTTTTCACCGCATCCAGATGCCACTTTGAAGGGTTAATTGACCATTGAAGCAGACATGTTGAACTTGCTGCTGTTTTATCACTCCAAGTTGCAATTGTTTACCTACTCGTATGACAATATTTGACTGGTCCAGATATGTACCAACTCTTGGAGGAAGCATTATTTAACATGTCATTTTTATGTACTCTTGCCAGACATTAGGGATCAGATCTCAATCTTGCAATCTAGCCATAACGGCGTCAAATTGAACACAGTGGGGTTTATTTCTGAGTCAATATATCCTACTATCAGCTCAGACATTTCTGTCAGAGATAGGTTGGGAAGCAGGAGGTGAGGTGGATACACGACACAATATTTGATGGAAGGTTTTTTTTTCATATATTTTTAACCCATAACCACAGACCTGCCATCACAGTGACCGCAACAGTTTTCTAAGATGTTCGGAACCGTGGCATGACAAAACCGCGCTCGACTAAGCCGCGCCTGATTAAACCGCGTCGCTGACATCATCAACAGGGCGACAACAGCGAGCGCGGAGAAAGAAGGGCGCTTTAAATAGCGCTTTGAAAGCAAGCCGATTCTACTTAAGGTAAGGGTTAGGTTTAGGGTTAGGTTTAGGGTTAGGTTTAGGGTTAGGTTTAGGGTTAGGTTAAGGGTTAGGGTTAGGGTTAGGTTAAGGGTTAGGGTTAGGTTTACGATTAGGTTTAGGGGGGGTTAGGTTTAGGTTTAGGGGTTAATTTTAGGTTTAGCGTTTACAGCGTGCTTCTGTTGTCGCCCTGTTGATGACGTCAGCTACGCGGTTTCGTCGAGCGCGGTTTAGTCGAACGTGGTTTTGTGGTGGAACCGTTTGGAACACCCCTATTTTTAGAAATGGACCATTCCGGTTGCGAATAGCTTTTGTTTTCCCACCAATAAGAGGGTAGGCAGCATCACGCTTGCATCAGTTATTTGGTGTTTTCGGTAGCGGCATTTGAATTTGAGTTTCGGTCATTTTGACCGCAGACCTTTGTTAACATATCTTTTTGTAATGTCAGGGGTCAAGTTTTCCACCAAAAAGAGTGCAATTTGGTGATCCAATCTCGGAAGAAACTGTTCTGAAATGATATGGAGAAGCAGAGAGTGATCTGAGTGAAGTGGAATTGGATTGTGATGAAAATTTTGTAATGGACGATGAGGAACCCACCACAGCCACTGATTCTGACATCAGCAACGATGAAGCTCCCAATGAAATTGATGAGCAGGTGCAATCTACATCATGCAATAAATTATGTTGCAAGAACAAATTCAAGTGGTCTTCTGCATCTTTTGGAGGCCATACTGTAGATCCAGAACCGCTAGTCACAATATTGTTGTGCAATTGCCTGGACTACGGCCAGCAGCTAGAAATCTCGGAAATTCACCTACTCCACTAAAGATTTGGAAATTATTATTGTCTAAGGAAATTATTAGCACCATCATTCAGTGGACCAATGTAAAAATTAGAGAAGAAAGATTGAAGTTCAAGGATGAAGAAACAAAAATTGACTTGCGGGATGTGGATTTGATATTTTTTGGTTTACTGCTCTATATATCATTGTTTAGATCCAACCATGAAAACATTGAATGTCTTTTTGCTACTGAGGTCATTATGACTTCATGTCTGTAATAGTGTAGTCAAAATAGTACATCTGCGGCTAAGGGTTAAAACATTCAATGAAATTCACAAACATGATTCTGGAGAGTCCAAGAACCCCCAAAACCAAGACTGCATCTGGCCTTCTTCATGACAACCAGGCTACAAATTCACCCATTGTTCTCATCCCATCCCTTCCCCAACCCAACTTTGTCTGTTCACAAGATGATGTCATTTCGACAGTCATCAGTGCTTTCCTTTATTCTGAATTCATATGATTATGACTTGCAAATACTCTTAAAATGTTAGTCATCCCATGCCAGGTCTGCACCCTATAAGGAATTGATTGGCATAAGTTGGTAAACATTTTTTAGTTCCTTGATTACATTCTGGGTAAAAACTGGAGCCGTACCATGGCGAGACCTGTTGAACTCATTCTCTGTACTCCTTGAACTGTATGCATAGGGTATTCATGTATATACATATGCGCATGAGCACACAGTTGTAAAAATAGAGAGCATACAAAGCATATTGAAGATATGTTGCCAGCTAACAGAACATAAATGAAAACTGTTTCCTATGCCTAAAGCAGGGAAGATTGTGACATCTGTCAAGATGAAGGGTGAAGAAATCATATTAAATCATCTCACACAGCACACTTGTTCTTTTCCCCACATCTCCCCACCCCCCACATCCTCTGTCATCTATTAGGTAATCGTTTCAGTTGAGGCAAGCTTAAATCAATCACCAAAATGCTATATAAGTAAGACAGCACATCCTAAAACTAGATATCCCTTGGCTTGGAAGCAGAAAAGCAACAGTCAGGATGAGAAGCTTCTGGCTTGTGCTCTTTGGTGGGGCAATAGCTTTTGCTTTGCCTGTGAAACATGAAAAAGACAAGATGCTTCTTATGCAGGTAAGGCCAAAGACGCTAATGGAAGTATATATTGATGCAAGGTAACTGTTTTTTGGGTGGAACGTGATGGCTCAGTGGCTAAGATCCTGACCTTGCCAATCAGAAAGGTTGGCAATTCAGCAGTTCGAATCCCTAGCGCCACGTAACGGAGTGAGCTCCCATTACTTGTCTCAGCTTCTGCCAATCTAGCAGTTTGAAAGCACGTAAAAATGCAAGTAGAAAAATAGGGACCNGACTCAGCCTTCCATCCTTCCGAGGTGGGTAAAATGAGGACCCGGATTGTTGGGGGCAATATGCTGACTATGTAAACCGCTTAGAGAGGGCTGAATGCCCTATGAAGCAGTATATAAGTCTAACTGCTATTGCTATTGCTAAATAAGCCCACCCCAAAAATATTGCAACACAGCAGCAGCCATGAGGTGACCATACTCGCCGCCTCCTATAACTAAAAAATAATAAGACCTCCCTGAAAATAAGGCCAAGTCCTTATTTTGGGGCTCAAAAGAAAATAAGACCCTGTCTTATTTTGGGGAAAACACAGTAAATTTCTTTTCCGTGATCTGCACTGTTAAAAATCGAATAATACATCCTAATATCAAATAATGTCCTGAGTGCCTGACAGCATTCAAGACTTATTTCACAGTACCTGATTTCTTTTTCCTTTTTCCTTTTCTAACTCCTGCCTCTCTCCAATTAAGGGAAAAATACTGCTGCCAAGATTTGAAATTTCAGATATTGAAAGTTATTTTTTAAGTGCATTCAGAGGTGCAGTGCTTTAAAACAAATATGTGTTTTTAATAGATATTTTTGGCGAAAACACCCCCAGTACAGACAGATTGATTTGGATCTGATTTCTGAATTTTGGCCATTTCTACCATCTGGAGTGGATGCTGTTTCTGAAAATAATGAGAAAGATGAGACGTTTCTTTTTAAAGGTAAACTGTTGCCATATATACCAGGGCTTTCCTGTCCTCATTTTGTATTTGATTCAAAAATCAGGGGTGGGCTGCTGGGGGTTTGCATGGGTTTGGACAATCCTCTAGCAAAAAATCTGCATGGTTTGGCGAATCCCCAAATCCCACTCTTGGCTTGCCCCACCTACCCCACCCCACTCTGCTCCTCCCAGGAGTTTCTACGTGGCCTGTTCATCATGCCAGGTAAGTGCAGGGATCGTATGGAGGCTTCAGGAGGAGGGAAACGGGCCTAATGGAGATAGCAATAGCAATAGCAATAGCAGTAGACTTATATACCGCTTCATAGGCCTTTCAGGCCTCTCTAAGCGGTTTACAGAGAGTCAGCANGAGTGAGCTCCCATTACTTGTCTCAGCTTCTGCCAATCTAGCAGTTTGAAAGCACGTAAAAATGCAAGTAGAAAAATAGGGACCACTTTTGTGGAAAAGTAACAGAATTCCATGCACCTTTGGTGTTTAGTCATGCCAGCCACATGACCACGGAGACATCTTCGGGCAGCGCTGGCTCATCGGCTTTGAAACATTCCCCCCTAAAGCCGGGAATGACTAGCACATATGTGCGAGGGGAACCTTAACCTTTACCTAATTGTACGTATATTTATAATAATGTAAGAAATATAAGCAATAGCACTTAGACTTTACAGCACTTTCTATGTGGTTTACAGAGTCAGCAATGCCACTAATATTAACTACTTAATCATTATGTTTTATTTATCACACACATACATGCATGCATGTAATTATTTTGTCATCTTCCAGAAATACATAGAAAACATGGGATTAATAAAAATAGAGAAAGGTAAAAGATAGAGATATGAAAAGCCACACTTTTGGTGTAGAATATGGGAAGATCTGTCCTAATTTTTACCTCCAGCTCAATATAATGGAGTACAGAAAGCTACAAGAGTTGTTATCATCTACAATATTTCTACTCTATTGGGGTGCTAGATAGATTGCTGAGAGTTGATTCTTTTGTCCTCTAATTTCTATCTTTTATAAAATTTAGAACAAGGTCAAAGGGATTTGCTCATATTTGCCTTAAATAATTAGATATACATTTGGTCAGAGACTTCTAAATCATTCCAAAATGTAAACAAGTTACTTAATAGAAGTATATAATTTTTATATTTCAGAGGTACCTAGAAAAATATTACAACTTTACATCAAATGGGCAACAAGTCTTTAAAAGCAGAATCAGCAGCCCCATGGCAAAAAAGATCAGAGAAATGCAAAGATTTATTGGATTAGAGGTGACAGGTGATATAGACTCCAATACACTGCAGGCCATTCAAAAACCCAGATGTGGAAACCCAGATGTGGGCCAATTTGCCTTCTTTCCAAATCAACCCAAGTGGCAGAAGAAACATTTAATCTACAGGTAATCCTTCAACTCAAGTTCTCAAGGGAAAGGTTGACATAATTCATGTTAATGCTGAAAGTTTGGAAGGAAACCCTCCTCCTGAATTTGGTTCCCATTTATTTTTTCAAAGGATACTGAACTACACACCAGATATGGAAAGAGGCAGCATTGACGAAATCATCGACAAAGCTCTTAAAGTTTGGAGCCAAGTTACGCCTTTGACATTCGAGAAAGTTCTACATGGCAATGCAGACATATATATCTCTTTCCAGTCTAGAGGTAAATCTAAGCTATTATACAAATACAATACGATAATATGTTCCAAATAGAATAGAGTAATAGAGTTGGAAGGGACCTTGGAGGTCTTCTAGTCCAATCCACTGCTTAGGCAGGAAACCAGGGATGGGTTCCGGACGCCATTACTACCAGTTCGGTAGTAAATATTTTTTCTGTTATATTTAGCTCATGGAGATTTCTATCCTTTTGATGGACCTGGTGGAACACTTGCCCATGCTTACGCTCCTGGTCCTGACTTTGGAGGAGATGCCCATTTTGATGAAGATGAATTCTGGAGCTCTGGTGTAGAAGGTAATAATAAAGATTTGTTCTTAAACATGCCCAAAAACTTTGTTTTTCCTTGAAGAAGATTTGCTTCTCAACCAAAAAGCTTCTGCGATTCTGAAACTTCTTGGGTAAGAAGCAAAACATCTTCAAGGAAAAATGAAGTCCAGTTGCCTTTTGAAAAAGCAACTTCGGGACAACCATGAGCTGGATGACTGAGAACCTCCATAAAGTAAAGGTAAAGGTTCCCCTCACACATATGTCCTAGTCGTTCCCTACTCTAGGGGGCGTTGCTCATCACTGTTTCAAAGCTGAAGATAGAGCACTGTCCAAAGACATCTCCATGGTCATGTGGCCAGGATGACTAAATGCCAAAGGCACACAGAACACTGTTATCTTTCCCCCAAAGGTGGTTCCTATTTTTCTACTTGCATTTTTACATGCTTTCGAACTGCTAGATTGGCAGAAGCTGGGACAAGTAAAGGGAGCTCACTCCGTTATGTGGCGATAGGGAGTCAAACCGCCAAACTGCCAACCTTCTAATTGACAAGCCTAGTGTCTTAGCCACTGACCCACCACGTCCCATGAGAATCTCCATAGACGTTTTTAAATATCCTTGTCCTCAATAAAAAAAAATTGCACAGAAAAATAAGATTTATACAACTTACCAAAATGGGGTGATAGCTTTGGCCAAACAATGTTTCCTCTCATAACTGCAGCAATTTAAAACAATGACATGTGAACATATTAGAAATGTTATTATAGGAGATTTTTGACTGTAGATAAGTAAAATGCGATAACTACAATTACGATTACGTTGACACCTACATTGATAATATCTTTTGGTTCCCATTTATGTTTAATTTTTCGTTCCATCGTTTTCATACTGACTTTTAACTAGTTAACTAAAATTGAATGAATAAATAAACCAATTAGCAGGCAACATTGTAATGAGGAAAGAAGGAGCTGGCATGGGAGAGGGGCTACAAAATATAAAAACAGAGCTCAGAGCTGAAGAAGCTTCTGGGATGAGAAGCAAAACATGTTCAAAGAAAAACCAGAAAGTCCAGTTGCGTCCTGAAAAAGCTCCTTTGGGATAAGATTTAGAATGGGTTTTTACAATATGATATTTCTTATCGCCCATGTAGGTATCAATTTATTTTATACTGCTGTTCATGAGTTTGGCCATTCCCTTGGACTCTTCCATTCTCAACATCCTGATGCGGTGATGAATCCAATGTATAAGACGCCCATGGCAAATCAACCGATTCTATCTCAGGATGATATTGCTGGCATCCAGTATCTTTATGGTAATTTAGAAAATGTGTGTAATCTAAAATGTTGTACTCTTGAAACATTCCCGAACTGAGAGAGAACTAAGATCAGGCTGTGTTATCTAAAAGGTCTGCATGTTTTAAGTCACCTCTTACCAGCAAGTAGGTAAGGAAACATCAGCTTTTCACCAGCCTAAGATGATAGTTGGGACTTCAGCTTCCAGCACAACACAAACCTCTGGAGGTTAACAGATTCTGAACTTTATGAAAAACTGTGTGTATATTGTATGCTTAGTCAACAGGGAAGAATTCCACCCCCACTGCTAATTTTATGCATCCGACATTCTTTTAGGAGCATCATCAAATCCACCTCAAGACGATGAACCAAGAAAACCCAACAGCGAAGACAAACCAGCATTACCTTCTGCTTGCAATCCTGGCTTGACATTTGATGCTGTGACCACTTTTCGGGGAGAAATAATGTTTTTCTGGAATAAGTAAGACCTGTAATTTTCAACCAGAATATCTTCTCCTCCTCTTCTTCTTCTTCCTCCTCCTCCTCCTTTTCCTTCTCCTCCTCTCTCTCTCTCTCTCTCCCTCCCTCCACATATACACACAATAATGCTAGAAAATGGCAAGAAAGTTGCAAGTTCCAGTCACATGACTACAGACCTTGCAACCAGTGGTAAATCCAAACTGGTTGCCAAGTATACAAAATATGATCACATGACAATGGGAAAGTCATGTGTTTCAAGGAAAGGTTCAGTCCTGGTTTCAAGGAAAAGGTTATAAGTCCCCAAAGTCCTAGCTTTTTTGAAGTCCATCATCATTTTGAACAGTCATTAAGCAAACAGTTGTAACTCAAGGGCCACCTGAAATATTTATATATTTTTAATCAATTCAAAGCCGTAATCATATTTAATTATCCTGCCTTCTGTTTTAATGCAAAGACTCTATGAAATTATCTTAGGGGTTGCATGCAGCCAGAGGATAATACTCTGTTTCCCTGGAAATAAGACCTCCCAGGATTATAAATCCAATGAGGCTTTTGAGTACATGTGCTAAAAATAAGGTGGCACAGTGGTTAGAGTGTAGTACTGCAGGCTACTTTAGCTGACTGCTAGTTCGGCAGTTCGGCGATTCAAATCTCACCGGCTCAGGGTTGACTCAGCCTTCCATCCTTCCGAG